TTTCTGATGTGTCTGCTCTGCTCCCTCCTGCCACAGAGACGTGTCCCTCCCTCCCTCACACCTGACCACCCCCATACATCCCCCATCCTCTGCCATGTCCCATGTGCCCGGGCCTGTTCCCACTTCACAGAAAGCCGGCTGCCAGGGCACAGTCACCGTGGGGCAGGGAGGGGCCGAGCCCCCCCGCGGGCAGCCCGCCTTGCTTCCCGTGTGGACAGAGTAGGTGCTGGATTAAGGCTGGCTCTAAGTATCCCCCACTCCTGCGCCACGCTGGGGCAGCGGGGTGGGGGCGGGGACCCCGCGGAAGGACGGCTGGAGGCAGCCACCGAGGGCCAGATACTCACAGGTATTTCAGCCCCTGAAGATGCAGAGGAGGCTAAGGGATTTTCAGAAGCCAGATGTGTTGAAAACCCTGCCCAGCCCTTCCCCCCAGGGACCACAGTGCTCACGCCTAGTGAGGTTTTCAAACTGGCTCACAATGTTTTATTGGCAACAAACAGGCGGAAGGACGGCTGGAGGCAGCCACCGAGGGCCAGATACTCACAGGTATTTCAGCCCCTGAAGATGCAGAGGAGGCTAAGGGATTTTCAGAAGCCAGATGTGTTGAAAACCCTGCCCAGCCCTTCCCCCCAGGGACCACAGTGCTCACGCCTAGTGAGGTTTTCAAACTGGCTCACAATGTTTTATTGGCAACAAACAGCGGGGCCTGCTCGGGGCGTGACACTCACGTCCGCTCAGCCCCAAGAGAATAAACCTCCCAAACTTCCTGGCAGCCTGGGCAGGCCAGACGGGGGACGAATCCTTCACTGCAGCTTTTAAACAAACAGGCTGATCTTTAAAGCTCGCTGCAGGGGGATCTCAAACCACTCGGTACGAAATGGCTCCAACCCCAGCGCCATTCAACCACACTGCCTTAGCGCCCTGACAAGCCCGGCCACGTCTTCACTAGGGCGGCCGCTTGGTCTTGGCCCACGTTGCCTGGCCCACGCTAACGACCACGGGCTGAAATGCGAGATTCGACAACACCCCGTCTTCTCACCTCTCCCGGCTGCCGTGGGAAAACTCCAAGCTGCCTTGGCTTCGGTGGGATTTTACCTTGCGCTAGCTACGAGGCGTGAAGGGCCCACCTCTCTTCCGAGAGCAGGCGCCGGTGGAGCACTCCCGCTAGAGCCTGTCAGCCGCAGCCCGGCGCTGGGCTGGCTTTTGACATTTCTAAACGGAAAGCAGGACCAGCAGGTTACACCCCACTCGCCCTTCCCCCCAGGTCCCTTAACACCAAACAGCTCTTGGGAGGGAGGGTGACGTTGCCTCCTGCCTATGCTTTTCCTGCAGGCAGGGGCCGGGGAAGCAGCTGGAGTCTCGCTGGCGATGCTCAGGGTGGTGGCTGAAGAGGCGCTGGCCTGGAGGAGCAGGTGAGGCTGGGGGAGGCTCCCTGGCCGGAGAAGCTGCATGTTTGCCTGGGGAGCAGAAAGCCAGGCCCTGCTGTGCTGTGGAGCTCAGTGGAGGTGAGGCCCAGCAAGCCACGAGGACGTGGCCGCCCACTGCCTGGCCACGACAGGCCAGGGACCCTCCGGGGCGAGCTACGGCCTGTGGAGCTCAGTGGAGGTGAGGCCCAGCAAGCCACGAGGACGTGGCCGCCCACTGCCTGGCCACGACAGGCCAGGGACCCTCCGGGGCGAGCTACGGCCTGTGGAGCTCAGTGGAGGTGAGGCCCAGCAAGCCACGAGGACGTGGCCGCCCACTGCCTGGCCACGACAGGCCAGGGACCCTCCGGGGCGAGCTACGGCCTGTGGAGCTCAGTGGAGGTGAGGCCCAGCAAGCCACGAGGACGTGGCCGCCCGCTGCCTGGCCACGACAGGCCAGGGACCCTCCGGGGCGAGCTACGGCCTGTGGAGCTCAGTGGAGGTGAGCCCCAGCAAGCCACGAGGACGTGGCCGCCCGCTGCCTGGCCACGACAGGCCAGGGACCCTCCGGGGCGAGCTACGGCCTGTGGAGCTCAGTGGAGGTGAGCCCCAGCAAGCCACGAGGACGTGGCCGCCCGCTGCCTGGCCCGTAGCGCGGGACCGAGGCTGGGTCTACGCTGTGCCAAAGCCCTGACCCCCTCTGTGCACACAGCTCAGTCTGAGCCAGGTCAGTGAGCGCTCTGGCCCTCGCCAAAGCCGTCCTGGCCATAGGACAGTTTGGGGCAACTGCCCCGTGCCCCACGCTCTGGGGGCCCCAGTGGCCAGGAGGCCTGGGGGATTAGCAGGGGCCTGGCAGCAGCAGGGCTCAGTCCCGCCTCCACGCTCACCAGCAGAGCTGGGAGCTGAGAGACCCAGCCACGGCCTACTCTGACCCCTGAGCAACACGGCTGGGAGCTAGTGGAGCAGGGACGGCCAGGCCCAGCTCATTCTGCTCCCCACCACCACGGTGAGTGCAGTGGGGGGCTGATCCCAGCTGGGGGCGCCAGGCCCCGCCCCCAGTAACCTCCCAAGTCGCATGGATCAGGGGAGAGGGCTTGAGGGAAGGGGTGGAAAGGGGCAGAGGGGGCGGAGCAGGCGCCTGCTGGGGGGAGGGATGGAAGGGGGGCAGAGAGGATGGAGCAGGGCTGGGA